TTGCAACATATTGCTTCTTCTTACAGATGCTGTAGATGGTCTTCAATACACATGACGAAACCATTTTAGTCTACTTTTCTCTCATTTTATCACCTATTGGAGCTACTCCTAGGTCCCCTCAAAAGACTTCATTTCTTACCCTACCCTTTCTAGTTTTTCAACTTATCCATCTCAGCATATGCATCTATGCCACACTCATCTTTAGACATCTTTCTTGACTGCCCAACACTCTGCTCCATATAGCATTTCTAGTGTTACAACTTACAACTGTTTTATAGAATTTCCTTTTAACCTGAGTGGTACTCTCCAATCACATAAGACTCTAGATGCACCCCACTACTTTGCCCATCCTGCTCTAATTCTATGGATGACATCTTCCTCAATTTTCTCTCGGTCTCCAATCCCAAATCTAGCCTAATTCGCACTCCCATCACCATCATCATTATAGTTGTTGTTGTTGTTTTTGTAGTTATTACTATTACTATTACTATTATTTCTGTTGTTGTTATTATTGCTGTTGTTGTTGTTGTTTTTGTTGTTATTACTATTACTATTATTTCTGCTGTTGTTATTATTGCTGTTGTTGTTGTTGTTATGAAATTTACATGTCATATATTCTGTTTTAGTCCTACTTATTTCAAAACCTCTTGTTTCTTAAGTATTTATCCATAAATTTTGTAGTTAACCCAAAAGCCAAAAGGCGCATAATAAAAAGTCAAAAGAAGAAAAGAAGAGAGAAATTCTGGGCAGAAAGTCAAGTGCTTATAACTATCCATATACAGGATTTCATTGAATTTTGGATATATTAAAGGACATATGGTGTTGAACATCAAATTTTGGCTTCACTAGACTAATGGAACTGTAGAAAGCCTTCATGAAGCAGATAACAGTTGCTGGTCCAAGTACACAGTTGATCAACAGTCAAAATAATCATTTCACCAAGTGAACCCCACTAGTGGGGTCTTCTATCCCTTTTGTATAAACAGTTTGAATTTCAATAATTTTGGTTTAATAGTTTTGGAGATAAAGAACTTTCTGTTTTGATGCCCTGGTTTTATTTTTGAGTTTAGCTTGATATTCTTAAAACAGGAGTTGTTAGCATTTCTAATTATGATGTTCTGGTCAGTTTTACAACAAGAAAGAATTAACTACAGATTTAGTAACTTTCTAATAGACCTGAAAAAGAATCATAAATATATATAAATATGTCTTTATATTTATATATAAATATCAATATATATATAAATATATTTATTTGCCTGGACGGTCGAACCATTCAGCCCGGAAACTGTCCAGGCAACCGGTTCCATATACCCTTGACCCGTTCCTGGGCCAAAAATCGTTGATTTGGTCAAAGAACCGCTAACCCAGGCGGTCGAACCGTCAACCCATTTGACCTAGATAGTGGTTCACCGTTTAATAACAAAAATGAGGTTGAAGGATGGAGAGGGACTCTCATACCAGAATTCAAAGATCGAGATCCCAGAGAGAGAGAGAGGCCAGAAAAATGATGGGAGCGGAGGGATCTCAGATCTCAGATATGAGAGATCTGAGACAAGAGAGAGAATGGACGTCAACTTGCTGCTGCGTTTTTATTGTCGCTGCCATCTCCGTCGCCGTCACTGTCACCACCACCGGTGAACGCCGGATCCTCCTGCTCATCCTCCTCTCCCTCCTCTCCATCCTTTCCTTTCTTTTCCATTCTTTCCTTCCTTTTTTCTTTCTTTCTTTCCTTTTCTTTCTTTCTTTCTTCTTTCTCAGCCGATAACAACCTCTGTCTAAGCCTCTCTTCTCATAAAAGAAAGACAACCACAAATATTTGCCCTGATCTAATCAAACCGTCTGAACCATTTGACCCAGACGGTCAAACCGCTGACCCATGAACCAGTGGCCATAGCGGTTCTGTTTCCAGGTCGCTTTTTAAAACCTTCCATAAAACCTATAAACCTAAAAAAAAATCCTTTATCAAACTGTAGAAGCCATCTTTATCAGGTCCATATGTCCATACAAGAGCTACATCATCTGGATGCCATGATGGTATCAGCATCCAAGTTCAATTGATCTTTAAACCCTCTTGCAGGTACACCACTGCTCTAACACCAACTTGCTAGTGAAACAAGTTAAATGAAGGAAGAAGAGATTTGGGAGAGAGAGTAGAACATAAAAGGGAATGTTGGAACAGGTCACCCAATGCCTATTCCTAACTTTTATTTCTTAAGCAACAAGAGTAAATTAAATTACAATGCCACGATTCTATATATCACCAAGCTACCATATCATCTTGTCCCAGGGACCCCCATAACAACATGGAAAACACAGCTATAATGTTGATTCCAAAATATATAAAATGGACTTCTAAACTGAATGGCAGTATATCCAAAAGAAGCACATAAATAATATTCTCATTAAAACTAAAAATAAGCATATTGGATCATTTCAAGGAAACATTCAGATATGACAAAGTGTTTAAGCAAACCTGTGCAAAACGTTGCTTGAAATAGTCAAAAAGCATGTGTGGCTTTTGAGAGAGTGCAGCTAGTGGTATATCATCCCCCATGCAAAAGGTAGGTTCCTTCCCCTGTGCAGCCATGGTTTCAATAACCATCTGGACGTCCTCACTTGAATAGCCAAATGCCCTGACCCCACAAATGTAGATGGTAAATTATTCTGAAATGGTTCATTATATCACAAGAACATATTTTTGGGGATATTGACCTATTAGCATAACAATAATGGCATCCTTAAATAACCACAGTTTAAAATGCCCATAAATGTCCTAATATTTCCATGATTTATTTCCATGGGTACCGACATGAAATTTTGCTAGAACCGACATACTCCCTCCATAAACACTATCAGCACTATGTTGACTACAAGAAATAGTACTGTAACATAAATTGCTGACAGTATTGTAGATATGTGGAGTAGCAATGTTATTGCCCACTAAATGGACATGATTACCACTTTGAGCCAACTTGATATTCTTTTCAAGCATGAAGTTAACTATTAGTTTTTTGTTTTGTGTAATAGATATTTGGTTAATCTATTAGAATCATTTGCATTTTCTCTGAGTTAAAATTTTCCTTGAACTCGTTCAATCATGTAGTTTTGACTCTTATGGTTTACAGGGCAACTTCATAAGTATCATTTATGCCTAGAATCACTCTGGGGCATGGGAATCACTCACCATAGCTAGCATAAGCTGAAGAAAACTCAATAAACTTCATTGCTCTTTGTGTAAAACGTCCATCCATACATATTTATAGACTCAAAACTCATAATAATCCTAGGAGTCAAACTGTTAAACTCATAATAGTCTTAGGAGTCAAACTATTAGACTCAATAATCCTAGGACTCAAACTAAGCTGTCATATCCATTCATTTCAAAGAAGACTCAATAACTCTAATCCTACTTTTTTTTTATGAATGAGTGGTATTTTATTAAATAGAGATATAAATATTACAAGCATGAAGCACCCTAAGAGGAGGCACGAGGTGTTACCTCCCCTTAAAGGTGGTTCCAAACCCAACTCTTTTCATATTACAATTACAAAATAGCCAAAAAACCCTACTCTAATCCTACTTATGCAATGATTCTGAAATTTTATACATAAACAAACTATAACTAGACAAAATAGACCCTATCATTGGACCCCCCACAGAAAATTGAAAAATGACAAAAATACCCCCGATTGTCCAAGAATACATAAATACATAAAATTCCAATTTTGACTCTTCAGCTCCTGCATCAGGAGGCAACTTTTAGCAGCATCTCTATTGAGCTCCTTAGATGGGATTTTTCTGGACACTTCCAAGAGGGATAATAAAATTTTTATTTTCTCTTTGAAAAAAATATCGCAATGCTGATATCTTGGGTATCTTTTCTTGTGCTTCATTCTTTTAAAGCCCTCAGCTCCCCTATTTCTACTTTGCAGACCTTCCATTAAAAGATTGTTGGTGTAGACCTATGCCACCAAAAATTAGGGCCTTCTGTTGGGAGGCATTTCAGTCAAAAACCAACACCTTTGACCATCTAAAAAAGAAAAGACCTAACTGGTGCCTTTCGCCACACATTTTCTCTCTATGCAATGCAAGTGGATAAGCCTCTTACCATGTACTAATCTTCTGTCCTTTTGTGGCTAGCATTTTGGGAATGCATTCTCTCTCTGTTTCGTTGTATGTGGAATCCCCCTGCAAACTTGGAAGGATCTCAAATCCTCTTTCCTCACATTTCCAAGGAAAAAAGACTGTTATGGAGATTCATTCGGGCAACAATTGCTTGGATTGTTTAGAGGGAATGGAATAATAGGGTGTTTAATGACAAAAAAGAGAACTAATGAGGAGCTCATCAGGAGCACTAGGTGAAGACAACTAAGCTTTTTGAGCCTTTTTCCATGGATAATATTCTTAGAGGCTGGTCATGGAGAACAATAACAAATTCTTCCACCTCAAGAAGTGGTTCAGTCCAATGGCTATTGTTGGTTTGGCTGTCTTAATTTGTATTTTATCTTTGTTGGGTCTTAAGTCATTAGTTATTGGGCCTTAGTTACTAGGCCTAATCTTATTTAGTGTTTATTTTGACTAGGTGTCCCATCACTAATCAGGGGCATTCTGGTCTATTTATGTAACATTATGTAATGTTCTTATATATAATAGATTAGGGTTGGCTGAGAACACTTCTGCCGCCCATCTCATATC